CCCCCCCCCCATACCTGGTAGGCATAAAGAGGTACAGTGAGGGTTATTGGGGGCCTATTTGCTGATTAGCCAAGGGTAGGATTTCTTTATGCCCAGACAGCCCCATTCAATTTGAGATGTTTCCGAGAACCTAGCAAAAGCCTCTTCTGCCAACCTACAGGGGCGGGGCCCGAGTTGCCTTGAAGATCATTAAGAATGTGGAAAAGTATAAGGAAGCTGCTCGACTTGAAATCAACGTTCTGGAGAAAATCAATGAGAAGGATCCTGACAACAAGAAGTAAGCAAGCAAAGGAGTATGTGGGGAGCCTGAGAGGCTCCACCCCTATACAGGAAAATCTTCCCAACCTAGGTTAGGCACGCAGGGGAGTCCTAGACCTTCTCATTCATTCATTTTTTGTTCATCATCTTAGAGTAGAACATTAGAGTAGAAAGGGAGGGTCTGTGATATTCTCTAATACATTTCCCTTGTTTTCAGGGCAGTTAGATTGCTGTGCAGTTTGGCTCCATCCCAGGGTGGCCTCTGTACGGATCTGCCCTGGAAATCACCCTGAGACTGAGAATTAACATATTATTTAAAAAAAAAATTAATTGAGCTTTTAATACCTAGAACTACACTGATGAGGCTACAGACATTTATGTGTAATATTCTGTTCACACACATTCCATAAGCCAAACATATAAGAGAGTTAAGTGAAGACATAAAAAGACAGTAGTTATAAACATGTGCCTAGTAGTAGCTGATAGTGAATTTCAGGAATGGGTGGTGGGGTTTGAATTTAAGAGTGACAGTTTCACATTTCAGGGTCAACACTAGAGCCTGGCACTCAACAGCTCTTCAGCAAATAGACTTTTTTTTCAACTATTTAAAACTTTGTAGGAAAATGGTCTGAATCTTGCCAGGTAGTACCTCTCCTCTTGAGTCTGCCAGAAAGACCATTCCCTAGCTGAACTGAATTTTGTTGGTAATACTAGCTGGCATGTTTTTACACAAGTGTGTGGAATCAACAACTATGCAGTCCCTCCTTGTTGGTGGGGTGGTGGGCAGATGGGAGCTCATCAGACATTCCCCTTCCCTCATCTCTCTTCCCAGCCTCTGTGTCCAGATGTTTGACTGGTTTGACTACCATGGCCACATGTGTATCTCCTTTGAGCTTCTGGGCCTTAGCACCTTCGATTTCCTCAAAGACAACAACTACCTGCCCTACCCCATCCACCAAGTGCGCCACATGGCCTTCCAGCTGTGCCAGGCCGTCAAGTGTGAGTGGGGTGGGCCGAGGTGGACTCTGGGACAGCCCCTTCCTCCATTGGACCTCTTCTATCTCAGTTGTGCACTGGTGAAGCCCCGAAATAGTCAACTTGATTATCTACTCTTCTGTTATTCACTGTCACGTTGACATCTCCTCCTTTTCTGACTTAAATCCTTGACTGATGTCCTCACCGTCACTGATTGCTCTTACTCCACATCTAACCAAGCAGGAGCTGGAAGACAAAGCCTTTGAAATCAAAGCACTTAAATACCTCTTTTCCTTCATTCCCTTCCTTGGGAAGTGTAAGTCAAACAGCAAGCACAGAGAGACAAAAGGATGACTCAGGCTAGAGGTTTACACGGGTCTAAGCTGAGGTGCTTCTCGTTCTCAGCAAAGCAGATGGAAGCAGGGAGTAGCACAGCCAAGGGGCCGAGTAGGGTATGCCGACTAGTACTAGTAGGGAATTAGAATCTAGACTAATTCCTCTTTTTTTATATATTTATCTTTATTGATTTCAGAGAGAAGAAGGGGGGGAGAGAGAGAGAGAGATAGAAACGTCAATGATGAGAGTCATTGATCGGTTGCCCCCTGCACACCCCTGACTGGGGATCGAGCCTGCAACCCGGGCATGTTCCCTGACCAGGAATCAAACCACAGTCTCCTGGATCCTAGGTTGATGCTCAACCGTTGAGCCACGCCTGGCCAGGCTAGACTAGTTCCTCTTGACTGTTCATAACAATACAGCTTTGCAGAGTTGAATTCATGCAATGTCAGATACACATATGTTAGAGTCAGTACAAAAATACAAGCCATTGAAAACTCTTTATGCTTTGAGAATTACTTATATTCTGATATTAATAAGCATAGGGCATCTTAGACCAGGCATTTCATTTGGATGTGAGCAGAAAGCAGCCTAGTGATTCTTGACCTGCCTCCTCACCAGCTTGGAGCTAGGTGACGAAGCCTGGGGTCAGCTGGTGCCAGTTAGCCCTGGCCACCAGGACCAACCGTGACCTGGCCTTTTCCCCTGCAGTCCTCCATGATAACAAGCTGACACATACGGACCTCAAGCCTGAAAATATTTTGTTTGTGAATTCAGACTACGAGCTCACCTATAACCTAGAGAAGGTAAGATGGGTGCAGTCTCTCCCTTGGCCAATGAGGGCAGGCACCTTTGCCAGTTTGCCTTTCTCTTAGCTTTTTATGGCCTCCTTTTACTTTTTTCTCCCACATTTTCTCTTGGTCTGGCTCTGACTAAGTAAAACCAGAGTACCAGAATAGATTGAAAGGGAGAGATTTAGGAAGACTTGAATTGGAAGAGAATTTGGAAGAAGGACCCTAGATAACTTTCCAATCTAGTGGAAATGCTTTTAAGCCTCCTGTTTTGGACTTCTTTCCCTTTTTCTTAAGGAAAGCTCAGCTCCCTGACTGACTAGAGTTCATGGAGATCTCACCAGAGGAAGCTCTCCCTCCCTGTGCAACCCATTACATGTTTTCAGAAAACCACCAGTCACTTGGGTGTAGTCTTCCGATGCACAGAGACTGGCGTGCTGTTCCATAATTGTCCCTTGATCCCCTTCTTCCTCAGCCCCTGAAGTACTCTGCTAGGTATGGGGGAGGCTGTAAGGAAGAGACTGGCATGTGGGGGGGACAGGCAGGCAGGTCAAAATTGCTTTTTGAGGCACAGAAGCACTTAAGAGAATAGTAATTGAATCTCAGTCTGTAGTGCAGTGTTTCATTCTTTTCCTGTTTTGCTCCTAGAAGCGAGATGAGCGTAGCGTGAAGAGCACAGCTGTGCGGGTGGTAGACTTTGGTAGTGCCACCTTTGACCATGAACACCATAGTACCATTGTCTCCACTCGCCATTACCGAGCACCAGAGGTCATCCTCGGTGAGTGGGAAGGACAAGGTTGTCCAAGTGTGTAAGTGGGTGTGGTGGGGGTAGTATCCCCTAAACCTCATAACACCTTTTCCTTCCAATTTCTACCCAGAGTTGGGCTGGTCACAGCCTTGTGATGTGTGGAGCATAGGCTGCATCATCTTTGAGTACTATGTTGGCTTCACCCTTTTCCAAGTAAGTGATTATATGACCACCTGGCATTCTCACCCCTGATTTCCTTGTCTGCTGAGGACCTGCCTGCTTACACTTCCACATTGCTTATCTCCCTGGTAGCTGGTCCTCAGCGCACCCTTCCCAGTCCCATGCTCAGTTCTGGCTTTCTTTCCCAGACCCATGACAACAGAGAGCATCTAGCCATGATGGAAAGGATCTTGGGTCCTATCCCTTCCCGGATGACCCGAAAAACAAGGTGAACTTTGAGTGGGAAGGGCTTAACCCTTTTCCTTTTCTCCCTACAGATGGTCAATATCACATTTTCTCTTTTCTTTGACACCTCCCCTCCCCCAGCTACTCAGATGGGGGAATAAGGGAATTATCCCACAATAAGAGGAACCTCCTGATTCCTCAACCTCCCCTTCCCCTCTAGGAAGCAGAAATATTTTTATCGGGGTCGCCTGGATTGGGATGAGAACACATCAGCTGGGCGCTACGTTCGAGAAAACTGCAAACCACTGCGGGTGAGCCAGGCTGGGGATCAGTAGTGCCCACCACCCAGAGGTCACTTCTTTCTTAAGATGTTTTGCTTCTGGAAAGCATTTCACAAGCAGAGGGTTAGGAAAGAAGGGGAGGAATACTGAAAGAAGACAATTTTGGTTAATAGAAGAGAAGAGAATGGTGTTGTGGAGGGAAGGAGGTTAGACAGCCGTGTCCTTGAACCAATCAGAGATCAAAGCAATGTCCTGGATTCCTTGGGTCAGACAAAAGAATAAACTACCATTGAAGAGCTTAAATTTTAATGTGGAGCTAAAGAAAGAAGATTCACGAAGTTGACAAGGATATACAAGTAGAACTTTCAGAGTTATGTGAAGCAGTAATTGTGCTTGTAGGATGGTAGGTTAAGCTGTAATATCAGAAACGGTCACAGTGTGGTCATGTGAAGGTAGTATTCATAATGGCTGTAAGCAGAGCCTTGGTCCTCCAAGATTAAAAGCTAGGGCTGTGAAGATGGCAGGGTTTATAAGGCATTGTGCCTCACCTTTTTCCTGCCCTCCACCACCAGCGGTATCTGACCTCAGAGGCAGAGGAACACCACCAGCTCTTCGATTTGATTGAAAGCATGCTAGAGTATGAACCTGATAAGCGTCTGACCTTGGGTGAAGCCCTTCAGCATCCATTCTTCACCCGCCTTCGGGCTGAACCACCCAATGCCAAGTTGTGGGACTCCAGTCGGGATATCAGTCGGTGACGATCAGACCCTGGGCCCCCCTGCATCTGTAGCAGCAGTGGGTGTCCAGTTCAGGACACTGGTGCTTTTTTATACAAGAAAACAACTGGAGCCCACTCCTTCCTGGCTCCCTATATACCTGTGAATATGTGAAATAGTGTAAATATGAAAAAGCTTGTACCCTGCCTTGTACATAATGCTCCTCCATTCTACACTCTTCTCACCCTCACTTGCCCCTTGCCAGTTGAGTTGGATGGGGGCAAAATGAAGTAACCAGGTGGCATCCATCCCACGTTTTATAAGGAATTTTGTATAGTCTTTGTGAAATAAAATGACGTGCTTCATCTGACCTCCATCCCCGGAGTTTGAGGTTTGGGGATGCTGGGGTGGCGGGATGAAAAGATTGGCAACCTTTCTGAGTTTGGGTATGAAAGAAATCCCATCTTACCCTCTAAAATTAACTAGTCGGGCCTCCAGTTTATCTAGTTTGTCTCAGGGGAGGGTAATGATGAGTGGGATAACAGTTCTTGCACATTAGAATGGAGAGGGATTATAAGGTGGCACCTCTTTGATCAGGAATAATTAAGTTTGCAAGGAGGTCCAGCTACTAGAACCTTAAGAAAGGACCCCGCCATAGAGCCAGAAACCCAGGTTTTTAAAAAAATTGGCTCAATTGGGTTCCTGCGAGGCTGCCACCACTGGTGGGGAGACTCCCATCATACATCTCGGGAGAGAGACGGACTTGGGTTCTCACGCGAGGTCTGCTGGGAGGTGTAGTTCGTTAGGGGAGGGGCTTTACGTAGGGAAAGGGACGGCACTTGCTAGAGGGACTGGATTAGCCGTGTCACGTGGAGCACTTCCGGCTTTGCCTTTAGCCAGGACGCAGGCGTAACCCGCTACAGCTGCGGGATCCTTGTGACTCTTCCGGTCGGTACAGCCAATCGGTGCACAGAGAAGCGGGGCGGACGGGAGAGAAGCGGAGGGAACACTGAGAGTCGCTGCAGCCTCCAGTGCCGCCCCAGGGGCGTGGAGGGCAGGGGGCGGCCTAGTCCCCGGTTGCAACTATGGCTCAAAGCAGAGACGGTGGGAACCTGTTCGCCGAAGGCGGCGAACTTGCCAACCCTTTTCAGGTGACTTGCGCCGGCCTCATTTGGGCAATTGGATTGACTTCTCGGTTCTGGAGGATTGGGCTAACTCGTATTCCCATTTGTGACATTTTATCTGTGGAAGGGCCGCCACGTGGGGGTGACGGCGACTCCACACGAGTGAGCACCCTGGGGGGCGGGCCCTGCCCCTGTAAGAAACGTAATGGCAGTGTGCGGTGAAGGATTTGGAAAAAATGTTAGGACAACAGCGTGGCCCCCAAGGTGCAGTCCTTAGAGCCACAGGCAATTGAAGAGACCCCTGTGAGTTCCTTGTGAGGTATCAGGTGCCAGCTGAGCCCCAGGTCTCTGCCCGCAGGACCCAGCCGTGATCCAGCACCGACCTAGCCCGCAGTATGCCACGCTTGACGTCTACAACCCTTTTGAGATTCCAGAGGTGAGATTCCGAAGAGCACAGGACAGCAAGGAAGGGGAGAGTATGCCAATAAGCCCACTCTGTTGGGGTACAGGGGATTTTTAAATTATTTTTTTGCATTCAAAGGAAGGAAGAAGCACCATGATCTTAGCTCCCTGTGAGAGAGGCCAGTCTGCCATGGGATGCCTAATTCTGGATGCCAACAGTCCATCCAGTTGGAGCTCTAAATGTTGGTTCTGGAAGGACCTAGAGCCTGATGGGGCCATAACCAAGGCTCTGTCTGGGGAGGTTTCTTTGAAGAAAATAAAGTATGTAACTGGTTGGAGTTGAGAAAACAGACTCTGCTTAGGTGTGCAATTAGAAGGCAAAGAATGAGGAGGACTGGACATATCTGTCTCACTGGAAATAGAGTTTTAAAAAGTTAGGGAAGTAGATGTTGTAGATGAGTGCTTTGAGTTCTGGCTAAGGAATTTGATATGAGGGGTAATGAGGGCTGCTGCAGATTGTAAAGGAGCTCTCATATAAACATAAGAACTAGCTTTCTAACAACTGGGGGAGGGGCTGCTACCTTTGGGAGTGAGTTCTGGATCTAAAAGTATTCAGGCAGACTCTAGATTCCTATGTTATGAGGGACTGGTGATCTGTAAGATCTTTTTTAAACCCAACAGCCACCACAGTCCTATGAGCCTCCTGCCCCCGCCCCATTGCCTCCACACTCAGCTCCTTCACAGTCTTCGAGAAAGCTCAGCCCCACAGAACCCAAGAACTATGGCTCCTACAGCACCCAGGTAAATGAGGTGTGTAGGTGGTAGTTGGGAAGTCAGGCCAGCCTTAGGGCCCAGGACTCACATCTTCCTCTGCTCATATTGGGCAGGCTTCAGCAGCAGCAGCCACAGCAGAACTGTTAAAGAAGCAGGAGGAGCTCAATAGGAAGGCAGAGGAGTTGGACCGGAGAGAGCGAGAGCTGCAGCATGCTGCCCTGGGGGGCACAGCTAGTAAGTGGATCCTTGATAGGGTGGGGAAGGAACCTGACAGTTTCTAAGGAGCAAAAAAAACTAAGAGCATGGGCACCTGAGCCAAATTGCTGAGTCTGAATTTTGGTGCCATCACTTATTAATAATACTGAGCTCTTAGGCAAGTTACTTAATGTTGAGTGCCTCAGTTTCCATATTTGTAAAATGAGACTAATGTTTGTACCTGTTTGACAGGATTGTTGTGGGGGTTAAACAAGGTAATGTTATACAAAGTGCTTGGCACAGTGCTTAAAAGTTATAAATAATAATACTCAATATTATTTTTATCCCTCTCCATTTCCTTGGACCCCAAATTGGAGTTAGAAGAGGGCCTAGGGTGGAAGGGGGAGTGATTCCTTTATTGGTCTCTGCCTCACTTCCTACTCTCTTTGTGCCTTACAGCTCGACAGAACAACTGGCCCCCTCTGCCTTCTTTTTGCCCGGTTCAGCCCTGCTTTTTCCAGGACATCTCCATGGAGATCCCACAAGAATTTCAGAAGACAGTATCCACCATGTACTATCTCTGGATGTGTGAGTAGTAAGAAGCCTTTTTGGAGGAAGAGTACAGGTAGTAACTTCTACATCATTCCTGCCCTGGAGCCCACTCACCTAGAACTAGGGACTTTACTTCTCCTTAACATTTGAGTTTAAGGCTAATTTTTCTAGGATCTTCCTGGGTTACTCCTTTTATGCAATTTAGAACTTATTCTCCAGTCTTCTAGCAAACGTGTTTTTGCCCTCTCCCCCTCCCTTGTCCTCATGCATAAACATATTCTGAATCCTTTAAATGTCTTTCAGAGGGGATTACACATGGTTGAGATTTGAGCATTCTGTCTCCCCTATTGAGCTAAGGATTCTGTAAAGGCAGAATCCTCCTTTCCTTACTCTGCCACATTTGGTGAGGGTTATTGAGTGGCCTTACATGGGAAGGAGCTTTCATTGCAATCCAGAAGGAGCCATCATGCTGTCCCTCCATTTGTTAGGCAGCACTCTGGCTCTTCTCCTGAATTTCCTCGCCTGCCTTGCCAGCTTCTGTGTGGAGACCAGCAATGGCTCAGGCTTCGGGCTCTCTATTCTCTGGGTCCTCCTTTTTACTCCCTGCTCCTTCGTCTGCTGGTACCGCCCCATGTATAAAGCTTTCCGGTAAGTTGGGGGGCTGGGGTGATGGGGAAGTTTGAATGGACCCCCACAATCTGCTCCTCCAGTCCTAATTCTCCCGCTCTCCCCACTTTTTCTCCTTGCAGGAGCGATAGTTCTTTCAATTTCTTCGTTTTCTTCTTCATTTTCTTCGCCCAGGATGTGCTCTTTGTCCTCCAGGCCATTGGCATCCCAGGTTGGGGCTTCAGGTCCGTGAGCCTGCTACCTACCCTCATCCTTCCTCCCACTCCTCTAGACCAAGTCAGGGAACTGGGGTGGGAGTTGTTCAGCAAAAAGGAATGTGGTTTTTACCCTTGGGAAGTGCTAGTTTACCAAGAGAGACAGGACATACTTCCAGGATAGAGAGCCCAGACAGAACTCTAAACAGACATAGATTGAGGGTAAGGTCAATCTGAGAAGGCTTTCTGGAGGAGGTATATGTAGTCATGGTTGAAGAGGAGAGGAAGAATCTTCAACAGAAGGGTTTACTTAGAGTGAGAATGTCTGGAAGAGCTTGGAGAGCTAGGAGCTAATGGTTCAGAAGCTGGGTCTAAACTACGAAGAGAGTAGATGTAGTTTGGGAATGTGGTGCGTGGAAAGCTGCCAGACTGATAGGGGCGTGACCCTCAATAGGAAAGGTGGGAATAGGGCATGTTTGCGACCTGTAGAGAAATTGGGAAGACAGAGACCCAGCTATGAGCAGCCCCTCTTCACTGCCACATACTTGTCTCCTTACAGTGGCTGGATCTCTGCCCTGGTGGTGCTGAAGACCAACACAGCTGTAGCTGTGCTTATGCTATTGGTTGCCCTGTTCTTCACCGGCATCGCTGTGTTGGGAATTGTGATGCTAAAGCGGGTGAGGGGCTGTGTTGAAGGTGGGGCCAGGAGAGTGAGATCATGTGTCCCTAGGGGCCTGGATGGAATATTCAGGAGGAGCTGGGGAGGCCCAGGCTGATGGGCGTGTTCTGAGATAATGGACCTTTGGGGTAGGGGAGTGTTTTTGTGGGGTGTGTGTTGGAGGGGATCCAGGAAGGAAAAGCTAGAGCAGCAGGCTGGGGAGTGGTGGTGGCAGTGGCGGTGTTATTCACAGTGGCTGGAATGTGCTGTGATGTCTCTGTCCTCTACTTGCAGATCCACTCCTTGTACCGCCGCACAGGTGCCAGCTTTCAGAAGGCCCAGCAAGAATTTGCTGCTGGTGTTTTCTCCAACCCTGCGGTGCGGACTGCAGCTGCCAATGCAGCCACTGGGGCTGCTGAAAATGCCTTCCGGGCCCCGTGACGCCTGATGGGATGCCCTGGCCCTGCCACTTAAGGGGGCTGACTTAGCCCCTATCCCTGAGGTCTCTGGGACTTGGTGAGACATTACTACTTGATGTCTCCTGTATAGTGCCCCCAACCTCACAGCTGTGACTGCTGAACCTGACTTAAGGGTGCGGGAAGCCCACTGTGACCCAGTCACTGCTCTGCCTACACCCCACAGCCCAATCAAGCCACACTGCTGCCACCCCTTACACATCCCAACCCAGCTTCCCTCTGCTGTGCCAAGGCTGTTGCTTCGATTATTTAAATAAAAAGAAAGTGGAACTGGAACTCAAATTCCTGTTTCTGGAATTTTTACTGGGAACTATGACTTACGAAACAGGAAACAGAAAGAGTGAGGAGGGAACTGGAATGGAAGCAGAATTCTAATTCCAGAGGGAAGGTCAGGCCTGGCTTTAGGGTGAATTGCGAGCTGTCCAGGGTGGGGCACCAGAGCCGGGTGACTGGGTGGCTGGCGCAGGAAGAGGGAGGAAGTCCACGATTGGGCGTGGGATCTCGGTTGGGCGTGGAATTGCGGAGTGGCCAGGGAGCCCGGCTCCCAACCCTCCATTAATGACCTGGAAAAAGCCACTGCCTCTGCTGGGAACGCAGTGGGACCAGGGGCCTGAGAGGCTGCGTGGGGCTCGAGTGGGCCCCCAAAGAGTTGTTGGCTCAGGCCTCGGTCCGGGTAGAGGCAGGGACTGGAGAGCGCTTACCTTGCCGCCAGACCCGCCTGCCTGCTCCGTGGCCAGCTCCTGCCCTCCCCCTCCTGCGGGATCTCTGGCCCCGACTACAACTCCCGGGGAGCACCGCGCAGCCACGCTCCTCCTCTCGCACCATCGCGTCCCCATCCCCCTGCCTCCAAAGCCACTGCAGCCCGAGCTCGGGGAGCGGAGCGTGGTGGGGTGGGGAGGGGAGCGGGGCAGGCGACTCAGGAGACAGCAGCACCCTGCCCTATCCCCACCAACCAGCCTTGGATCCCACTGGACACTCCGGGGGCACATCGACCACCCCTCTAGAGTCACCTACGCCGACCCTTCCCCTCTTCTCTAGAATTCTTTTCCATCCTCAGGACTTCACCCTCCCCATCCTTTCCTGGGTTCCCAACCTCCGTCCTCTCCTCCACGCCCTCTCCTCACTCCTGGACCGGCCCTTCTCGGCGCCCTTTTCCCTAGGGAGATGCGATGAGCCTGTGTCCCAGCGCCCTCATCGCCATCCCGGGCACGGTGCCCGTCCAGTGCCCGTGGTGGGGAGGGAGCACTCCGCGGCCCCTCTGTGACTTCCCTCTCTTGGCCCCCCCTCCAGCTGGAGTCCCTGGGCCATGCCCCAGGGGACCCAGCCAGTGGGTGGGCTCTAGAGCGAGTTGGGTGGAGAGGCGGAAGGACGGGGCCTTGGGCTCCTCTGAGATGCTCCCAAGTGCCAGGGGGGGCCGAGCGAGGCGCAGGCAACCGGGCGGCAGGCATGATGCCCTCGCCTAGTGACTCCAGCCGCTCGCTTACCAGTCGGCCCAGTACCCGGGGCCTTACCCACCTCCGCCTCCACCGACCCTGGCTGCAGGCTCTCCTCACGCTGGGGCTGGCCCAGATGCTTCTGGGCATCCTGGTGGTCACCTTCAGCATGGTGGCCTCCTCCGTCACCACCACTGAGAGCATCAAGAGGTCCTGCCCGTCTTGGGCTGGATTCTCGGTGAGTTGGGTGCACAGCTGTTGGGTGGGGGCGGCTCCTTGGGCCCCACCCCTCCACACCAGCTGCCAGTTCAAGTCCTGGCCTCTCCTCCCTCTCCTGGTCCTCTACCTCCTTCCAGGGCTGGGTGCACCCTGTGGTGAGGGGCTCACTCAGGTGCCTCCCCTGCCAGGCTGAGCCTGTGCCCACTCTGTCCCCAGCTGGCGTTCTCCGGGGTAGTTGGCATTGTGTCCTGGAAGCGGCCATTCACTTTAGTGGTAGGTGCCAGGGTCTGGTGCCCACTGGGAGGCAGGTGCCCAGCACCTGAGGGGATCCCCATTTATGCCCTCGAGAAGGGAACTGGCTCTCCAGTTCGTGTCACTCAGGCACAAAAGAGTGTGGCTTCTCCTTGGTAGTCCTCTACTCCTGAGCGTCCCAGCCCTGAATCTGCACCCTGTTTTTCCCAGATCTCCTTCTTCTCCTTGCTTTCGGTGCTGTGTGTCATGCTCAGCATGGCTGGCTCTGTTCTCTCCTGTAAGAATGCTCAGGTGGCTCGAGACTTCCGACACTGCTCCATGGTGAGATTTGAGGAGGGTGAGCCAGAGAGAACTGGTTGGGGGAGATGTGAGGGATACCTGACTCAGTCTGCCTCACCCTCCCCACTCCTACCCAGGAAGGAAAGGTCTGTGTGTGCTGCCCCTCCGTCCCCCTCCTCCGGCCCTGTCCAGAGTCAGGGCAGGAACTAAAAGTTGCCCCTAACTCCACCTGTGATGAAGCCCGAGGGGCCCTCAAGGTGAGCATGCATCCCCCCAGCTCTACCATTCCTTCCTCCCGCACCATGCCTCCCCTCCTGAGGTCCTCACAGGCCCAGAATATGTGGGATTTTCCCCTCCCCAGTTCCCTCTTACCTCCCTCTTTCTCTCTTTTTCCCCCAGAACCTGCTCTTCAGTGTCTGTGGACTTACCATTTGTGCCGCCATAATCTGTACCCTCTCAGCTATTGTTTGCTGCATCCAAATATTCTCCCTTGACCTCATGCACACGGTGAGGGAGGAGCCTGGGTCAAAGCCAAGCAGGTGTAATGGGGGGCAGTGTGTGTGTGCTGGAACTGAGGTTGAGGGGGTGGTGACTTCAGCAATGGCTTCTGAGCACCAGGGGCTGTAGATCACCTATTAGTAATGTCTATTATTGTAGGGACGTTTAGGGGGCCCAAGGGTGTGTGTGTGAGGAAGGGAATGACAGGGAGTAAGAGAAATATGTGATGCCAGTCTGGGGCCAGTAGAGGGGGCATTAGAGTGGGATTAGAAATTGGGTGGAGTCAAGAAGGTCCTTAATTCGGGTGAGGGTGAAGGGTTGATGTTCTGGTGAAGACTAAGAGTAGGCCGTGATTCTGGATGCAGATGGGGTCATAAAGAGGAGGAATTTTTAGATGGGCAGGGTCAGACCTGGAGGTCCTGGGTGGGGGCAGGATTAGAGGAGGAGCTGGTTCTAGCTGAGGGAGGGGCCAGAGCTGAGCAGTTTTGAGGGGGCGGGGCCAGAAAAATGTAGATAAGGCCGGGAGTTTGGGAGCCTAGGGGCTGCATTCCCAGAAACCAGGCTTGCTGACCTGCTTGCTCCCCAGCAGCTGGCCCCTGAGCGCTCAGTCTCAGGTCCCCTGGGGCCTCTGGGCTGCACGTCCTCGCCCCCAGCCCCTCTCCTACACACCATGCTGGATTTGGAGGAATTTATACCGCCTGTGCCCCCACCTCCCTACTATCCCCCAGAGTACACCTGCAGCTCAGAAACAGATGCACAGAGGTGAGGCCTGGTGGACTCCTGGGTGTGGGGGGTGGATTAAGTAAGTGGAGGGGGATTTGTCTGTAGCCTTGATTGGTGGGGAGGGTCTTTGTGCAGTAGTTCTTCTCCAGGCTTTGACCCTCTCCCTCTTCCCGCCAGCATCACCTACAATGGCTCCATGGACAGCCCAGTGCCCTTATACCCTACTGATTGCCCCCCTTCTTATGAGGCCGTCATGGGGCTACGAGGAGACAGCCAGGTGAGAGCAAGGCTTGGTGAGGGCCACAGAGCCAGGGCTAGAGCATGAAAAGCTGAGTGAGCTGTAGTCACTGGATAAACATAATAATAGTTCCCATAATCTTATAGCAGTAGCACATCCGCTGTCATCTTTGATCATCCCTAGAGCCTGGTGAGGTGGGTGGGGTAGGAACCATTATTTCTATTTTACAGATGTGGAAACAGAGGCCCACATAAGTGACTTGTACAAAGTGACATAGCTGGACTGGAACCTAGGTCTCCAGAGTTCTGTCCAGCATATGGGGGTGGCCGTATCAATGTGTAGAGCTGGACCTTTGACTTTTGTGTCTTCTTTAGGCCACTCTGTTTGATCCTCAGCTTCATGATGGCTCCTGCATCTGCGAGCGAGTGGCCTCCATTGTAGATGGTGAGCAGAAAGTGGGGAGGGTGGACAAGGGCCGGCTGCCTGGGATGGCAAAGCTGGGTGGGAGCCAAGAAGGGGGAGAGAAGGCTGAGTTGGTGGCGTGTGGACAAGCGAGGGCGGTGGCTTCTTGGAATCCTGGACTTAACTCTCTCCTTTGAGATAAAACGAGGAGGAGTTGTCCCCCTAGAGGCTGGGCCTGAGGAAAAAAGAACAGCCTAGGCCGGGTCGGGCTGGTGCTACCGGGCGCCCCCTGCTGCCCACAGTGTCCATGGACAGCGGGTCTCTGGTGCTGTCCGCCATCGGCGATCTCCCGGGGGGCTCCAGCCCGTCGGAGGACTCGTGCCTGCTGGAGCTCCAGGGCTCCGTCCGCTCCGTGGACTACGTGCTCTTCCGTTCCATCCAGCGCAGCCGCGCGGGCTACTGCCTCAGCCTGGACTGCGGCCTTCGCGGCCCCTTTGAGGACAGCCCGCTGCCCCGGCGGCCGCCTCGGGCCGCCCGCTCCTATTCCTGCTCCGCCCCGGACGCCCCGCCTCCCCTGGGCGCCCCCACAGCTGCCCGCAGCTGTCACCGGCTGGAGGGCTGGCCGCCCTGGGTGGCACCCTGCTTCCCCGAGCTGAGGCGGCGGGTCCCCAGGGGAGGCCCCCGGCCAGCTGCAGCTCCTCCCACAAGAGCCCCCACTCGCCGCTTCAGCGATAGCTCAGGTTCCCTCACCCCCCCGGGGCACCGGCCTCCTCATCCGGCTCCCCAGCCACCGCTGCTGCTGCCACGGTCCCACAGCGACCCAGGCATCACCACCTCCAGCAACACCGGTGAGCCCACCGCCGCCACCAAGGTTCAGGGAAGGGTGGGCACTGGGAGCTAGAGGGCCAGTGACAACCAGGCTCTGGGACATTGTCGAGGTCCCTGAAGAGGGCGACAGGGTGAGTTCACTCCTGCGGTAGACAGTTCTTGAGTGCTCACCTCCTAGAAACACAACATCAATAGCTTTGTGGCTAAAGGAGGAAGATTTGTTTTTTGAAACCCAATTCCACAGCTCCCGGCTTGGGCCAGTTACCAAGCCTCAGTGTCTCACCTATAAAACAGGTACAACAATAGTAGCTCCACCATAAATATTATAGAGTTACTGAGAAATGAGGTAACGCAAGTAACATGCTTAGCACAAAAAGTTCTCATTATCACCGGTATGTGCCAGGTGCTGG